TAGTGTATGTATAAATGACAAAATCCTATGATTTTATATAAAAATAGCAAATGGCAATGTTTTATAAATGGTATGGGTCAAATACATAAAAATTAGACTGGTGGAGAGGATGTGGAGAAAAGGGAACCCTCTTGACTGCTGGTGGGAATGCAGACTGGTGCAGCCACTGTGGAAAACAATATGGAGTTTCCTCAAAAAAATTAAAAATGAAACTTCTACTTGACCTAGTAATCCCACTTCTAGGAATATATCCCAAGAAATCAGAAACACCAATCAGAAAGAATATATGCACAGCTATATTCATAGCAGCACAATTTACAATAGCTAAGATTTGGAAACAGCCTGAGTGCCCATCAGCAGATGAGTGGATTAGAAAACTCTGGTAAATCTACACAATGGAATACTATGCTGCTGTAAAAAAGAAGGAATGCTTACCATTTGCAACAGCATGGATGGAACTGGAGAGCATTATGCTAAGCAAAATAAGCCAGTCAGAGAAAGGTAAATATCACATGATCTCACTCATTTGTGGAATATAATGAACATCATAAACTGATGAACAAAAATAGAGACAAAGAACATTGAACAGAATTTCAAACCTCAGTGGGAAGGCAGGGGAGGGCTGAAGAGGGGTAAGAGATCAACTAAATGACTTGTATGCATGCATATAAGCATAACCAATGGACACAGACACTAGGGGGTGAGGGTATGTGCTGGGTGGATGGGGGAGGCCAGGGGGAGGTCAATATGGGGAAAAGGAGACATATGTTCTACTATTTGTAATACTTTAAACAATAAAATAAATAAACAAATAAATAAAATAATTAGACTGGCATAAATTTTGCTAAAGTGATATACCATTTATCATAGGGATTAAATGTGCTGCCTCTGGGTACAGACCCAATGCATGGAAACCTCAGCTCTAACACTTTCTAGCCATGTGACCTTAATTGAGTTTATTAATATCTTTTTGTTCTCCATTGTGAAATGGGAGTTGTGGTACAATGGGAAATAGATATATAGCCATATGTCACATAATGCTCTTGTCAGCACAGGCCACATTTATGAAATAATTGTACCATAAGGGTAAAATGGAGCTGGAAAATCTCTATCACCTAGTGATGTAGCCATTGTAAAGTCAGAGTGCAGCACATCACTCACATGTGTGGTGATGCTGCTATAAACACACCTGCAGCTGCCAGTTGGATAAAAGCATAGACATACAATTATGTGCACTACATAATGATGATGATGATAGTAAAAGACTACATTACTGGTTTATGTACCTAGTATACTATATGTTTATTTTGTTATTTTAGAGGGTATTTTTCTCTTATAGAAAAAAGTTTGATGTGAAACAACACGCTGTGTTACACTGGCAGCAGCCTCATGCATCTCATGTTGACCTCCTCTCTTGTTGCATAATTTTCTCCTGTGCTTGATTTAATCTTGTGTTTTGTAAATGTAGTGTAGCCCAAGTGCACAGTGTTTATGAGTCTACAGTCATGAATAGTAATGTCCTGCCCTTCACACTCGCTCACCACTTGCTGACTCCCCAGAGCAACTTCCAGTACTGCAAGCTCCATTCTTGTTAAGTGCCCTGTACAGGAGCACCATATTTTACCTTTTATACTGTATTTTTACTGTACTTTTTATGTTTAGGTATGTTTAGATACACAAATACTTGCTATTGTGTTACAATTGCCTACAGTTTTCTGTACAGTAACATGCTGTGCAGCCTAGGAGTAATAGTAGCTAGACCATCCAGGTTTGTGTAATGTGCACTGTATGATTTCCACATGAGGATGAAATCACCAAACAATTTCTTAGAATCTATCCCTGTCACTAAGGGGCACATGACTGTAATTGGTTTTTGTCCTGGGTTTCTGGCGCAGAACTCCTAAAACTCTTAGAACTTTCAGAGTGATAGGAGTGTCTTCAATTATTCATAACAAGCTCCTTTCAACTATGCCTGAGTTTACGCTTAAGAGGTGACTCTGGTGGTCCTCTAGATAGCTTCAGGGTGGGGGCTGGTTGCCAGAAAGAGCCAGACAGGATTAGAAGCTTGGGAACTTTCAGCTCTACTCTCAACCTTGAGGACGGGGAGAGGGGCTGGAGATTAAGTTTAGTTTCCAGTGGCTAATGGTTGAATTAATCATACCTATGTAATAGAGCTTCCAAAAATCTCTAAACAATGGGTTTCAAAGAACTTCCAGGCCGGTGAACATATCAAGGTACTGGAAAGGTAGTGTATCTAGAGAGGGCTTGGAAACTCTATGGCTCCTCACCCTCTCCCTATATATCTGTTCCGTTTGGCTGTTTCTAAATGGTATCATTTGTACTAAACGGGTACCAGTAAGTAAAGAGTTTTCCTGCATTCTGGGAGCCATTCTAGCAAATTACTGAACTGAGAGTGGATTGTGGGACACTGATTATAGCTGGTAAGTCAGAACTGCAAGTGGCCCTGGACTTGAGACTGGACTCTAAATAGGGACCGGTTTGAGGGAGTGAGCCCTGTAATGTGTGGGGTGTGATGCTAACTCCAGGAAGATAGTGTCAAAATTTAATTGAATTTTTGAACACCAAGTTGGTGTCTGGAAAATTGGAGAATTATTGGTGCTGTAAAATACCCCAAGAGTCATATTATTATTTAGCTAATAATAACACTAACAGTTCAGTTGAGAAAACAGATCCACTCTAGGTATTTCAAGCTGAAAGCATGTAATAATATTTGGAAGATTACAAAACTGTTGGGAATGCTGGGGAGCTAAGCCAAGAGGGTAGCCACTAGATTTTACAACTTTGCCCCTGAGAGTAGGGGAATTTCAGATCCCACTCAGTGGGGAGGGGCTGTGGGAAACTTTCCTGCTATCCCAGCTTAGGAAACTGGGTTTCACAGGCCACTGAAAGAGTAATTTCTACTGCAGCCCACATGTCTGCCTCTGCAGCAGAAACAGAATGGGCTCTGACTCCCTCCTGCCTCCCAAATCTAATTACTCTAGCGCTAGAGCATGACACTAGAAGGCAAAAGGTAGTTGCATGAGAACCCAGGTAGTAACGGAGTAAGGACATGCAGTTCTTGGTCTTCCAACACCTATGACAAAGGGAAAAGCACAACAAAGCATGGGAGTTAGTGCTAATCATTTAAGAATTATTTAGCCGAAACCGGTTTGGCTTAGTGGATAGAGCGTCGGCCTGCGGACTGAAAGGTCCCGGGTTCAATTCCGGTCAAGGGCATGTACCTGGGTTGCGGGCACATCCCCAGTAGGAGGTGCGCAGGAGGCGGCTGATCGATGTTTCTCTCTCATCGATGTTTCTAACTCTCTATCTCTCTCCCTTCCTCTCTGTAAAAAATCAATAAAATATATTTTTTTAAAAAAGAATTATTTAAAAAACCCAGCATATTATCTCATAGGGTTTAGTGAGAACTAAATGAGAAATGCATGTACAGTGTTTAGATAGTGTAAGTATTCATGATTAGGATGATGATGGTGGTGGTGATTCCTAGAATGTGCAGGAGACCAACAATAATCTGTTTTGCTCTATACTTTCCCCACACTTTCAGATTTTCTACAGTAAAATTTTATTATATATTTAGAAGAAAATAAACTAAATGCCAACATAAATGTTAGAAAATTGTGTTTTCTATAGGTACATATAAAATATCAATGTAGGAAAGCATATTAGAAGAAATTGCAATATTAACTCATAAGCAAAATACGTTTTCTACACAAACCAAATACATAGATGTTTATCCTGTATGTGTTCGAAATTCTAGGTTGATAGGTGTCATCAGCGCTGACCTCCCAGCTTTACAATTCCTGAGAGTTTTAAACTCTCTTTGATAGCGTTCTTATTTTAGGTATTGAGTAAATTCTGAATCAAGTTTTTATTTCTGTGACTCAAACTTAATTATTCTACCTGCTGTCTTCCAAAAATAAAATAAAAATGCTTCCAATTCCTATGAGAGCATCCTGGTAAAAATTGGAAAAGTCAAATGACTAACAGGGAGAACATTAAATACACCTGGAACATAATGAATAATACAACTATTAAAAGAGCTAATTTTTCAGTGAACCAAGGGACACAATTTGAGTTAAAAGACCAATTCAAATACTGGGACAGAAAATGTTGTTTTCATGATGAAATGATGTAAAAGACCTAGAAAACATCATAGTTTCAGAACAAATCTTAAAATGCTACATACTGCCTTGACATTTTTAATGTTGCATGAAATCTACTGCATTATTATTGCCACAAATCTTTAGTAATATGAAATACTGTAACTTGATATTTTAATCAAAGAATGTTATTAAAATGACTATTTGAGTTTTGCTCTACTTTGTGTATTAAAACAATTATTTCAAATACACTGATTATGATGGTCATAATAAATGAAAAATAATTTATTTAGAGAGTGAGTAATCACATTCTTAATGTTCCCTACCCCCTACCTCAGAGCTGATTACTACTTTACAAAGCAGATGGGATTAGCAGCCTGGCTCAGAAGTATTGGCCCATTATCATATTAGCCCTTGGCTCAGGAATGGATTAGTGAGCTGATTCACTATCCATCCTCAGTGTGCAGAGCACAGAACTGTAGTGTGTTTGTCTTTTACAGGTGTCACCTACCGTAGTCATATATTTTGAATATCATGAGAAGTAAGAACAAATAGAAGAGAGAGTGCTCATTCTTCAACCTTCTCACTATTGGTTAAAAAGTACCTCAGAAATTTAGATAAAAATTGAAAGAGGGAGTAAGTGCTTACTTTCACAGAACTATTTTGAGCATGTTCTGTGTCTGTTCAACTTTTATTGGACATCTACCTACACTGGAATATAAGTTCTAAGAGTTCAGGATTTTACCTAGTTTACCTTGGAATCAAAATGCTGAGAATTGTGCCAGGCATGTAGTATATGCTCAGCAAACATCTGTTCAGTGAATAAATGAACACTTGAAATAATGTAGTGTATAATGGCAAAGAAAATATTGTTCTTACCTTTCGGGAACTTCTAGGCTAGGAGAGAAACAGACACATAAACAAATAGATATAAGGTAGTATGTGACGGATTATTATAATACAGGTACAAGAAATAATTTGAGACAGGGAGAAACTAAATTTGGTGTTAGGAGGAGTTTGGGGGTTGGGTTAGGGACAGAGGAATCTTCCCAGAGATGGGATGCATAGATTTTAAAGAATTGTTAGTAACTCAACATGCCAAATCTAAGGTTCCAGAAAAAGAACACAACATATATGTAAAGGTATGGATTCCTGGAAGAGCCTTGACTATTAAAAATGTCACAAGGGAAGTTGTTTGCATGAACCACAAAAGTCTGAGATTTCAGGGTTATGATTTTCAAAAAAAGAAAAACACTTGGGAAAGATCAGGTAATTTGAGAGTAGAATCTAAAAGTGGCACATTAAAACCACTGTTGAAGAAACTAAGGCTTAGAGAAACTAAGTAACTTGCTGGATGTTACACAAGTAGCTAACGGAAGAGAAGGATTTGAACTCATTCTCTTACTCTAGAACCCATAATCCTACACACTAACACTGTACTGTTGGCAGTATCTGTGAGGCATCCACTCAGTTTATTCCTTCCTTGAATTATTATACCTGATAAATCAATTAGTTATTCAAAGCCTTATTTGGTGACCATGAAATCTGACAAAATGGAAGCCTATGGTTAGAATGCTTTTACAGAATCCCTCTTTCCCTTCAGCTTTCCTCAGCTTCATTGCTTCATCCATTCAGTTGGCAGTTCTTAGCTCGTATATATGCCAGACACTGTGCCAAGTATTGTTTTATAAGACTGCTTGCCTTGGACTTTATTAGATACACAGTGAGGGAAGTCTTAATTTCTAACTTTAATTTCCCAGGCTCAGTGGAGTGTTAATATAATTAATGCAAATACAATTTTACAAATATTTATAATTTTAAATCTAGGATTCCAGGGGCTGAACAAAATATCACCTGAGTAATTCCGAGTTTCCCCAAGGGCAGGAATGCTTTAATTTGAGGCATAAGCTTTACTCATTTTTAAGATTTTAGGTAGTTGGTTCTCAAAAGTCATTCCAGTGATTCCTTTTTCTTTGGGGAATGGGGAGAAAATAGTTTACTTTCATTTATTTTTATGAACGGGACAAGAATTGTGGCTCTCACATGTATTAATGTTGATTTTGTCAGGGATTGCATTCTACATCCTAGTGAATAGACCCTTCCTTCTACCCAAAGCAAGTGTGTGATTTTGAGTGTGCCACTTATTGTCATTTGTTAAGTAGATCCGATTGGGTTGTAACTGAATTGAATTGATGTATTTTGATCAAAATAGATGTGAAAACAGTATTTATAATCTGATAATATTTATTATGACTTAGCAACAGTAAGTTGGGATTTCATTTTTAGCCATCTAGAGGGGAGAGGAGAGGAAAGAGCATTATGTTACCTGACTTTAGCTTACCTCCCAACTCTCACCTCTGTGACCTTGACCACATTTCTGAATGGGGTGTGGTGGTTAGGTCCACTGTCCACACGATGCTTGTGCACACTAAACTCTTGATCCATTGGTTGGATAAAAGCATACATGAATTAATGAATGGATGTAGAATAATTTTCTAGTATTTATGTTTATTGGACATTGGTTTATTGCTGAGAGGGGTTAAGGAGTTTTTCTATCTGGTAAAATAAATAGATCAAAGATGTGGTTTTTGAGAATATGTTATTTCTGAGCTGGGTGGGTATGTGTTTATACTAGCTGTGTGTTAACTTACTCTTTATGTGTTTTTGAACATGTTAAATATTACATCATAAATTTATAAATAAATAATCACAACCCACTAAAATAGATTCAGGTGTCTTAGAGACTGAAATCCTTCGATGAGAAGAAATAACAGGAGAAAAGGATACCAGAACGCTCATTTTGATGGCACCTGTAGCATATGCTACATTAGCTTCCCAGGACTCAGCCTGTTGGAGGCTGTCCACAGATATGGCACAGCCTTTGTCCCTCTGCTCTCCTGGTCCACTGCCCAGGAGCAGAGGCTGCAGCAAAGGCAAGAGGGTATTTGGCTGGACAGCTCCCTGCTCTGGTGCATCCCTTGGAGAAGTGAGGCTACTTTTGGGCATGTCACATGAGGGCTGGGGCCTCTGGCTCTCAGTATGTCATTGTTCTGCAGTAGTGACAGCTACCATCATGGTTCTGTATGCTTTTCTATTAAATTAGCTAAGATTTTAACTAGTGCTCAGAGGTAGCTAGCTAAGTGTTGAGCGAATGAAAATAGGGAAAGCAATAAAATTGTAAAGAAACATGAACAATTGAAAGTTTTGAGTAGATGGATTCTCCTCTCTGTTTCCACCAGACAATTGCTTACTCCTTTGGCTCCAATTGGTCCTCCTCCCAGAGTGCCTATTTGCAATAATCTCTCCAGTGGTCAGCATGTCTGTAAATCACTGTGGATCTGCAGCTGTGGATCCTGGGCTTTACAAATGGAGGACCAAAAGGAGACCATATGTCCTCTTTCCTTTCTTCATCTGAATTGTAAACTCTTTAAGAAGGCTTCCTACAGCCTGGTCACCATTAGCCTGCCCTCTCCTCTCCCAAGATCCCTTCCAAAATCCCCTTTGTGCTTATTGTGAGTAGGAGACACATGAATTATAGGTAGTAGGGACGGTGTTTCTTCATTTCCTTTTATATTATAGTAAAATATACGTAACATAAAATTTGCCATTTAAACATTTTAAAGTGTACAGTTCAGTGGTATTATTTGCATTGCCAGTGTTGTGCAACCATTGTCATCGTATACTTTGAAAATGTTTTCAACATACCAAATAGAAACTTTGTAACCATTAAGCAATAACTGTTCCAAGTCCCCTTAATGTCTAACCTACTTTCTGTCTCTATTAACTTGCCTATTGTAGATATTTCATGTAAGTGGAATCATACAATGCTTATTCTTTGGTGTCAGGCTTATTTCACTTACATTTTTTCAAGGTTTTCTATGTTGTAGCAAGTGTCAGAACTTTACTTTGTTTTTTTGTTAATCCTCATCCAAGAATATTTTTCCATTGATTTTTAGATGGAGGGAGGGAGGGAGGGAGGGAGGAAGGGAGAGAAAGTGAGAGCGAGAGCGAGAGAGAGAGAAACATTAATGTGAGAGAGATGCATCAATTAGTTGCCTCCCGCCCTCCACCCCTGCAGCCTGCAATTGAGCTTGCAACAGAGATACGAGCCCTTGACCAGAATTAGACCCTGGACACTGCAGTCGATGCTCTAACCATTTAGCAAACTGGCTAGGGCAGACCTTCACTTTTTTATTTTATTTTTGTAAGGAATAGATCTTTATTTAACCCATAAAGATGCCATAGTTTTTTGGGCTGCCTGGTCCCAGGTTGATGTTGGCTAGAATTAAAGGTGCAGTTTCAGATGCATCACCTTTTGTAGTTTTATGTTTACTAACATAAATTTAACTTATTTTTATTTTTAAATTTTGTTTTATTGCTTAAAATATTACAAAGGGGATTACATATGTCGCCTTTTTTTTTCACCCCTTGACCTTCCCCTAGCCTCTCCTACCCCCAAGTGTCTTGTGTCCATTGGTTAAGCTTATATGCATGCACACAAGTCCTTTAGTTGATCTCTTATCCCCCCACCCAACCCTCCCCAGCCTTCCTGCTGTAGTTTGACAGTCTGTTTGATGCTGCTCTGCCTATGTCTCTATTTTTGTTCATCAGTTTATAATGGTCTTTATTATCCATAAATGAGTGAGATCATGTGGTATTTTTCTTTCATTGACTGGCTTATTTCACTTAGCATAATGCTGTCCAGTTCCATCCATGCTGCTGCAAATGGTGAGAATTCCTTCTTTTTTACAGCAGCATAGTATTCCATTGTGTAGATGTACCACAGTTTTCTAATCCATTCATCTGTTCTTGGGCACTTAGGTTGTTTCCAAATCTTAGCTAAGGTAAATTGTGCTGCTATGAAAAATAGGGATGCATATATCCTTTCTGATTGGTGTTTATGGTTTCTTGGGATATAGTCCTAGAAGTGGGATCACTGGGTCAAATGGGAGTTCCATTTTTAATGTTTTGAGGACACTCCATACTGTCTTCCACAGTGGCTGCACCAGTCTGCATTCCCACCAGCAGTGCAGGAGGGTTCCTTTTTCTCCACATCCTCTCCAGCACTTGTAGTTTGTTGATTTGTTGATGATAGCCATTCTGACAGGTGTGAGATGGTACCTCATTTTTGTTTTGATTTGCATCTCTCAGATGATTAGTGACTTTGAGCATGTTTTCATATGTCTCTTGGCTTTCTGAATGTCCTCTTTTGAAAAGTGTCTATTTAGGTCCATTGCCCATTTTTTGATTGGATTGTTTATCTTCCTTTGGTTAAGTTGTGTGAGTTCCCTATAAATGTTGGAGATTAAACCCTTATCAGTGATAACATTGGCAAATATGTTCTCCCATGCTTTCTTGTTGTTTTGTTGATGGTGTCTTTTGCTGTGCAGAAGCTTTTTATTTTGATGTAGTCCCATTTGTTTATTTTCTCTTTAGTTTCCAATGCCCTAGAAGTTGTATCTGAGAATAAATTGCTTCGGCATATGTCTGAGGTTTTGTTGCCTTTGGATTCCTCTAGTATCTTTATGGTTTCCTGTCTTACATTTAAGTCCTCTATCCATTATGAGTTTATTTTTACGTGTGGTGTAAGTTGGTGGTCTAGTTTCATTTTTTTTTTTTTGCATGTATCTGTCCAATTTTCCCAACACCATGTATTGAAGAGATTGTCTTGACTCCATTGTATGTTCTTGCCTCTTTTGTCAAATATTAATTGAGCATAGTGGTTCGGGTCGAATTCTGGGCTATGTATTCTATTCCGTTCATCTATATGTCTGTTCTTGTGCCAGTACCAGGCAGTTTTGAGAACAGTGGCTTTGTAATACAGCTTGATATCTGGTATTGAGATCCCACTTACTTTATTTTTCTTTCTCAGGATCACTGCAGCTATTCGGGGTCTTTTTTAATTCCAGATGAATTTTTGGAGAGTTCGTACTAGGTCTGTGAAATATGACGTTAGTATTTTAATTGGGAGTGCATTGAATCTATAGATTGCTTTGGATAGTATGGACATTTTAATGATGTTGATTCTACCAATCCATGAACACAGTATGTTCTTCCATCTGTTTATGTCTTCCTCTATCTCTTTTTTCAAGGTCCTGTAGTTTTCTGAGTAGAGGTCTTTTACCTCTTTAGTTAAGTTTATTGCTAGGTAGCTTAATGTTTTTTGGTGTGATGGTAAATGGGATTGCTTTTCTAGTCTCTCTTTCTATAAGTTCACTATTGGTGTATAGAAATGCCTTAGATTCCTTGGCGTTAATTTTGTATCCTGCTACATTGCCGAATTCATTTATTAAGTCTATTAGTTTTTTGATGGGGCATTTAGGGTTTTTATGTACAATATCGTGTCATCTGAAAATAAGGACAGTTTTACTTTTTCTTTTCCAATTTTGATGCCTTTTTTTCTTCTTTTTGTCTAATTGCAATGGCTAATACTTCTAGTACTATGTCAAACAGGAGAGGTGAGAGTGGGCATTCCTGTCTTGTTCCTGTTCTTAGGGGAAATGGTTTTAGTTTTTGCCCTTGAATATGATGTTGGCTGTGGGTTTGTCACATATGGCTTTTATTATGTTGAGGTATGATCCTTCTATCCCACTTTTCTGAGAGTTTTTATCAAAAATATGTTGGATTTTGTTAAATGCTTTTTCTGTATCAATTGATATGACTATGTGGTTTTTATCTCTCAATTTGTTTATGTGATGTATCACGTTTATTGATTTGCGGATATTGTACCATCCTTGCATCCCTGGAATAAATCCTACTTGGTCATGTTGTATGAGCTTTCTGATATACTGCTGGATCCTATTTGCTAGGATTTTGTTGAGGATTTTGGCATCTATGTTCATGAGGGATATTGGCCTGTAATTCTCCTTCATTGTGTTGTCTTTTCTGGTTTTGGTAAAAGGATAATGCTGGCTTCATAGAATGATCTTGGAAGTGTTCCTATCTATTGAATTTTTTGGAACAGTCTAAGGAGGATAGGTTTTAGTTCTTCCTTGAATGTTTGGTAAAACTCCCCTGTGAAGCTGTCTGGCCCCAGGCTGTTTGTTTGCTGGAAGCTTTTTGATGACTGCTTCAATCTCTTCCATACTTATTGGGCTAGCGGGATTTTTAGATTCTTCCTGATTGAGTTTTGGAATGTTGTATTTTTATAGGAATATGTCCATTTCCTCCAGGTTGTCCAGTTTGCTGGAATAGAGTTGTTCATAGTATTTTTTAAAAAATCCTTGGTATTTCTTTGGGGTCTGTTGTTATTTTGCCTCTTTCATTTCTTATTTTGTTTATTTAGGTCCTCTCTCTTTGTTTTTTGGTAAGCCTGGCTAGAGGTTCATCAATATTTATTTATTTATTTATTTATTTATTTATTTATTTATTTTTAAATCCTTATTGTTCAGATTATTACAGTTGTTCCTCTTTTTTCCCCCCATAGCTTACCTCCACCTGGTTCCCACACCACCCTCTGCCCTTACCCCCCTCCCCACTGTCCTCAACCATAGGTGTACAATTTTTGTCCAGTCTCTTCCCGCACCTGCACACCCCATTCCCCATGAGAATTGTCAGTCCATTCCCTTTCTATGTCCCTGATTCTATTATATTCACCAGTTTATTCTGTTCATCAGATTTTTTATTCACTTGATTTTTAGATTCACTTGTTGATAGATATGTATTTGTTGTTCATAATTTGTATCTTTACCTTTTTCTACTTCTTCCTCTTCTTAACGAATACCTTTCAGCATTTCATTTAATACTGGTTTGGTGGTGATGAACTCCTTTAGCTTTTTCTTATCTGTGAAGCTCTTTATCTGACCTTCAATTCTGAATGATAGCTTTGCTGGGTACAGTAATCTTGGTTGTAGGTTCTTGGTACTCATCACTTTGAATATTTCTTGCCACTCCCTTCTGGCCTGAATAGTTACTGTTGACAAATCAGCTGACTATCATATGGGTACTCCCTTGTAGGTAACTGACTTTCTTTCTCTTGCTGCTTTTAAGATTCCCTCTTTGTCTTT